CCCTTATTTATTTGTCTATATTTCACATCAAGTGTGCCCTAAAGCTACTTTATACCACTTTCATAGGGATTAACCTTTTTGATAAATTGATACCATGTTTTGGTGTGCCAAGATGGGAAACATCAAACACATTTATAAAGTGAAATAAAGCCCCAGTAAATTTTGCATACAGATCATTGAGAGTTAATGACTGGCTGCCATGTTGCAGTCGTCAAGGTATTCTGGTTGTTCCATGATGCAGAAAAGTACACGTTGGACTAATTATTCCACCCCAGCAATCATGAAGGGCTGTATGTACTTTGCAGCATTATAAGAAAGTGTCACCATCATTAAATATCACATATAATTATACACACTTCATTAACACTAACTACTTCTTTAAGAACACACATATAAAAGAGCAACTGAGTAGCCTGTAGAGAACACATGTGTGACCATGGGCTATGCCACAAAGTTAGTACACAGCAGAACGCAGCAGTGGCAGAAGCCTCGGTGGAACTCATTATGCCCCTGACTTCTGAAAAGACTGTTTAGACAAGCAGTTTATGCAACGTGACAGGCTTAATTTCTCATCAGCAACTCAAACATCGACTAGACAGCCCCTAAATGCTGCACTCCCTTTTTCCTGACTTCTTAGAAAAAAGAAAGACAAAACCCACAAATTTTGACTTCTATTTGTTTAATTTTTTCTGCCTGAATTGGTAAAAAAATTACAAACTAAGAGAATGAATTTGCATTTTTATATTTTTAATGCTTTTTACGTGAGAGGTTTAAAAACACAAGTTTAACTCTGACAGCAAACATGAGCATCAAATGTTCAAAATATTTTGAAATAAAACATTTTAAACATTACACCAAATAGATTTGTTGAGTGTCTTAAAACTGTTGTCTTTAGGAGCTTGAAGCTTCAATAAAAAGCTGCAGAAGACTTTTTTCTCCTCCTTCAGTGTCAATAATATTCGAGTACTCAAGCACATGGGTTATTTAAAGGGCTTTAAGGCTTTAGTTTCAGATTATGTGAAAAAAACACACCTTAAAATCCCCTTTAATGCTCTGGGCATTATAAAGAAAGAAGTATTTTTTTAATTACAATCTTTGATAGATAATAGGACATCTGACCAACACTGTAACACGCTTAATATATTTATAAGAACATGTTGCTTCTCCCCTTGATAAAGTCCCTGTAATCCCTCCATGATCACTCATTTCTTCGTGCTGTGGGCGGTATTGTCACAAAGGCAGGGGTAAAACAGTAATGCTTGTAATCCAGTAGGGCTGACTCATCGAGTTATGGATTAGGAAGCAGCATCCTCCAGAGTCGAAACAAAGAGCAGGGAAAAAACAATACTCGTCAGCAGAAATACACCAGCTGCAATTGGACATGTTTATCCTTTTGGTCTCAACTAGCAAGTTCATTGTGTTTGGGGGACCTATTATTGGCACAACAGAAGCCAATAAATGAAGAGAAGGCTGTTCGAAGTTATTGATATTTGTGGATGCTGAATTGAAAGGAAGTTTCTTTGTTTGGTCGCCAAGCACCACCATGATTAAACCACCCCTCTAACCTCCATCAGATAATTTAAAGACAACTTGCTGGTGAGGACTCTTTGGAGCATACTGTTCTCCTACAATAACTCGAAAGATTACATAGTTATGCAGCTTTTTAACAATGACAAGCAGATGACACTATTCTGAAAAAAGGCATTGTTGCAATTTAGAGTAATATGAGGGTCAGTCGTCCCTTCCTAGACTACTGTCAAATTCCAAACGCATGAAGAAAATGGGAAATAAAAAGAACTAAACGTAACTCCCAACCTAAACAAACGACAAAGAAAAGTACTGAATCACATCAGTGTTTGTGAAGAGGCCATAATGGTAATTGGTTGGGCTTTCTTACCAACTCACGGCAGTGGGCTCTGATAATCATGACTAAAGAGGGAAATTATTTTTGTTTGTCATAGAAAATCAAACTGAATATATTCTGCTACAGATGCATGCAACTGTAATGAACTTTAATAGCTTCACATATTGACTTACCATTTTCAAAACTCTTGAACTACCTTCTCTTGTGATCAGAACTTGTTCACAGATTTGTGTAGTTTACTTGCAACATTACAACCACACCGACAAACTGTCTCATTCCAGCTGTATGAACATTAAAACAGAAGTGCAGTATTATGCTGATGGATTTTAAAGCAGCTATCTCAGTTTTGTTCAACACTCAAATTTTTTCTCTATCGTCCTTTGCTTTCCTTTTACACAGCTGAATTACGGACCCCTTTTCAATCCCATCTGCAGTCCTGAAGACATTAGGAGATTGATCTGTCAGTTGGTGGAAACATGCACATTAACATGCACAACAGAACAGCTCTCTCAGTCACTATACTGATTGGAGATGTGGGCTTTGATTTAGATGTTAGGAGCCAGATTAGATAAACCAGATAAAAAGAACCATGGTCACAATCAAATAAAGGTTATTAAATCCGGTATTTTCAGACAGCTAATATGTCATATCCTCCATATCATTACTTTCCACTTTTCAAAATAAATGGAAGTAGCTTAGATTTGTATTGTGATCTAAAAAAATATACTCCTGTATTTTATCTATGGTTTTCAAAATGTGTTGTTTTCTTTATCTTTGAAGATGAATTTTTCATAGTTTAAACATTGTCATGTAATAAAATAATGACAAACAATTACAACTGTTTGTATTTTATGATTTCAACAAATAAATTGAGATATTGGAAGTAAATTATCTTTTTTTGTTATCTTATTTAGGCATAGCTGGGAACCCAGTGCTATTCAATGAAAATGGAGATGCTCCTGGGCGCTATGAGATCTACCAGTACCAAATCAGAAACCGAACGGCTGAATATAAAATAATTGGCCACTGGACGGACCAACTGCATCTGAATGTAAGCCCTGGACACTCTCCTCTTCATGCTCAATGCTAATGATGTTTCTATGTAGGTTTTCAATAAAAAAAATATCATATATTTTAAGCTCTACAGTATATCAGAATTCCTCCCAATACATTTATTCCTACTTAGTTTCACATGGAAAAAAGCAGGAAACCACAAGAGCTTAAGGACCGACATATTTAATAAAAGCTCTTCTGAGGGCATCGATGACTTCCAAAAACACTATTGTGGAAAAAATAGTGTGATAAAATAAAGCAAATTACATAAAGGAGTGAAAGCAAATTATGTTTTCACAGAATCAAGAGGTGGCCTTGAGCAAAGAGTGCAACTGATCAGCAATTTGGGAGTATATATATCACTACTTTAAGAAATATACTTTAATATATCACACTATTTTTTCCACAATAGTGTTTTTGGAAGTCATCGATGC